TTTTTAAAATATTAGTTAAATTAAATTAAATTAATAAAAATGACTCGTCAGATATGACATTTTGTTGAACATGTTGGTGTTCCATAGGTTGTTTCAATCTCCTCTGCCTCAGGATTGAATTTCTGACGCTAAGCATGATGAGTTGAGCTGAAAACCAGTAAAACTTATTTCAACTCAAAAAGCTTAAATTCAATCGTATAGAAGTATCAAGATCAATGAGAGGTATATATGTTGTGATGAATGGCAACACAGGAGGCTGAAGTAATTAATTTTTAGTAGATAGGTACTCAACCTTTATTAATCAATTATGTTGGCAATATATAATCCATAACAGAGATGAATCTCAAGGCCTGCATGGTTAGATTTAACGAAAGACATAATCCCCTCTAAGTTCTAACAAAGCAGCTGCTTATAGTGTCTTAAGGAAGAATTAGCACGTATGTGAAGAATGTTGCGATAATACCGCTATTTCAAGCACTATAAAATACTATAAACAAACAGTCGAAGGTCTTTAAACTTTGTAGGGTCAGTCAGGACTCTACTATGACACAAGAGTACAAGCTTCTTTCCAAATAGCTTTTCAGGATGTTTGTATTACTTAATTTATATGTAATTGATAATTAATAATTAATGATTGTTATTTATAATTCACGTATATAATTCATTTAATTAAAATTAATAATTAATAACTATTTAAAAAATAGTAAAACAAACATTCTTTTATCCTTTTTTTTCAATGTTCATGTGTGACATTCATTGATTATTAGTGATCATCTTTCACGGTTTTTTCCAATAACCACGTCTTTATAATTGACAACTGTAATTGCACCAAACCAGATGTCCTCCTTCAGTCCATATCTGCGCTCCAGATTGACCTGCAAAGCCCCGAGATGGATCTCGGGGTAGACACTCCGATGCTTAAGTCAGCAATAATCGGGGCTACCAATAGAGCGAAGATTAGAGGAGTTTAGGGTTGGTTTCAATTACCTTTTTGTCGTGGCCCTTGAGGGGTATTTATAGGTTCCCATGAGGAGCTCACGTGGCATGCCAAGCAAGATACTCGGGATCTGATGTGTATCTCCAGGCAGTTATTTCGGGACCGGGAAATTAATCCAAGCAAGATATTCGAGATCTGATGTGTATCTCCAGACGGTTATTTTGGGGCCGGGAAAATGAGAGATATTTAGATGCAAGGGTGTCCATCGTCACTGCTGTGCAGCTCATCATAAAGGATTAGGTGCAGGCATGCCTACTGTTGCTGTCATGTTCTTTGGATTTATCCTTCACTTCGGTCATAAAGGAATTATTGTCGTTTGTCCGAGGTTGGGCATCTCGGACCT